ACACTATACAATTCATGTCTGAAGGAAAACCTGCCCAACATTTACGGCAGGATTTATTTCATGAAGAAGAAGAAATGTGGATGGAGAAAAGTGGAGAAAGTTGAACTGGACCACGGTGGGAGGCAAAGACGAACTTTCTTTTTTTAAGCGGTGCGATTTCTCCTTGTCGAATCATGTCATTCTTCTCTCGCTTCAAGAATCCATCAAGTTTGTTGATTCTGGGCTATTCTGGACAGAGCTAAATTTACAAAATTGTGCGTACCTCCATTTTTTTGTGGGGGACAATGGGATGTTTCGTGGGATGGGATAAATTTGTGGAGATTTTTCCTACTATATCTCATTACCAGATTGTCTTTTCTAATTTTTTAATAATCGCTACAATGTTTTGTGTATTCTTTTGTAAACATATGTATATATGTCATATGTAAACGACAAAAAACTGTTAATAAGCAAATAAAAATTGCATTTTTGTAATCATTTTTTATCATATTTCGTAACCATTTATGTAAAATGTTATCTTTCATGACACTTCATCACATTTTTATTATTTTTGTTTTAAGAAGAAAATCCATATACTATACAGTCAAACGTGATAAAATTAAATGTCCAAAAAGTAAATGGTCGCAAAGTTGACAGATTTTGGTTCTCATAATTGATGATAAATTATGCTTTTGTCGGAATGCCAATTCTATGCGTTTATCATAAAAACAGAAAAAACGTGCAACATTAATGCCAACATTGTAAAAACTAAAAGCTAAGTTATGTTCAAGCTGATCCAGATGGTGATGGGAAAATTCCTCCCGCTCGTCTCCTCCCCCTCATCTGCTCCCGCTTAACCGCTCCCGCTCGTCTCCTCCCGTATACATTTTCCTCCCCGTACCATCTGCTCCCCGCAGATCTCCTCCCGTATACATTTTCCCCCGATGCATTTCCCTCCGTATTATATGTTTTCGTATTACCCAATGTATTCCAAATAAGAGATTTTTGGACCGTTCAAATTGGGTATAGATTACTAGTTTGCATGTTCGCCTAGCAACATCATTTGAAACAAGACAATTTTCAAAAACTGCCTTAGATGAGGCACAGGTAAAACTTATTTTTTCAACATGTAATACTTTGATGCCGGCATCATGAAATGATAAATACATGCTTGCAACTTTTCCATTATTTAAATTAAAAAAACCATTGCCAATCTAAACGGTCTGCAATTTTTTACCCCCTTTTTTTGGGGTTGCTAAGTTACTAATTTGGCCTCACCTAAGACAAATCCGAAGTAAACACTAGGGAGGAATGCGCCATGGCTTTTCAAAATTTTGCTTCGTGTGAGGAAATTTATGAGATTCTTTGAAGTCGCTTCTCGAATTAAATTCTTTAGCTTCCGTATTTCTTGTTCGAATTAAATTTGAAGTTATTGCTGTTGGTAACTGGAAATAAGTAAGATAAAAAGTTTGTGAAGTAAAATTTGTGGCGCCATCAGCCATGGAGCAGTAGTGTAAGCTTCAAAAATGCTATGCATTTTCTGCTCAAAAATTCGCACGTTCACAAACTTCGCAAAATTATGTTGTGGTACGAGGCTTGCGAAGTATACGAAACTCGTACATATCTAGGTAACTCTTCTCCCTTAAAGTTTGCGATAAATGGTCGAGTTACAAAAATAATAATTATCCTTTTTGCGAAGATTTTATAAAAATCCCCAAAACCATACATTGGGTACTACCCAACGGGTAGTCAGACAATATATAATACGGAGGAAAATGTATACGGGAGGAGATCTGCGGGGAGGAGATGGTACGGGGAGGAAAATGTATACGGGAGGAGACGAGCGGGAGCGGCTTAGCGGGAGCAGGCGAGGGGAGGAGATGAGCGGGAGGAATTATCCTCCAATCGATCCAGATGATTCCATCATGGACTGTTATTAAATAATTTGATTGTAGTGCATGAGGGGACTGATGTGAACATTCGTAACCTTCATAAAATCCACAAAACCTGCAAGTTCTATGTAATTAGATGAGTTTAGATATGCAGAAATTTCATTTCGTAACTACGTAAGGTTTGTAAGCACATAAATTTTACACACATTTGACGTTACGAGCTTTTTGTAACAAAAGCGTTTACGAAAATGTTTCAAATGTCGATTCCTCAATTCACGTCAAAGTATATAAACTTTCAAACCTCACAACTTGGCGTGAAATCACTCAGTAACTTTTAAATTAAACCAACGTCAAAATCATTTAATTGCAAAGCAAGTAGATAAGAAAATAAGATTTCTTGATATTTTTGTCGTTGGAAAAACTGAAAAAAACTTAAACACCTCCAACGCCAAATGTGTCAAGATTAAATTTTCCATAAACTTATGCTGACCCAGATCTAGTCATTGCAAGTTGCGTTGAACGTTGACAAAATTGTAAACTTATTTAGCAAAATTTAGTATAACAAAAGGATGCCAAAAGCTTTGCGAATAACAACAAATCCCTTTGCTGGCTAAATTTTAAATAAAAATCGCACGAAGTTCTCGCAAAATTCATAGCGAAATTTGGCAAATTTCTGTAAAAAAAATTATTCTTAAGCTGTGTTTGTTTAATAATGTGGTAATTTCGCGAAGGTTGTCGTGGTTAAAATAGGTGGACCATACTTTGTACGAACTTTTGCAGTTATGAGGCCATTATGTCCGTAGAAATTTGCAAAAAATTGCATACAACAACTTTTATTCAGGCGAATTCCTACCTTCTGTCCTTACTTCTAACTTACTGTTTCACACCCCCCGAAAAAATTAATCTTGTTCCCTTTTCCTCGCCGAAGTATAAACATCAATAAAATAAATCCGATTTTCCCCACTTTCTCCGTTTCTACCCGTTCTTGATGAGGTGAAAGTGGGAAAAATGTGTCTATCCGAATCCTCTCGTAAAATAAAAGTGGACGAGGCGAAATAAAGCGGCAATATTGCTCTCTCTCCTCTCTCTCTTTCGTAGTAATGGTGTCGATTCGACTTGACTTTGACTTCTCGCACGAGACCGACCGGAAGGAAGTGATGACTCGACGAAAGAAAGAAAGTGGGAAAACAAAGCCATCAATAAGAACGAGGCGATGGTGAAATATACCCCAAAACTGGACGACGACTGACTTTAAGGAGATTAAGATTAAGTGAACAACGCCGTCGTCGGTGTATGTTTTTGGGTGAAAGTGAAAGTGAGGAATATGACGAACGGAGTAATCCGTCATGAAAGAGAGGAGGAAATAAATCGCCTAATAATCTACTATTCATAACTTGAAAGGAGCGAACTTTTGAAGATGCATCAGTGTCTTTGGAATTAAGACAGGATGAAAAAAATGTTAAGTGCATTTGCAGACAGAACTAATTTCGTAAACTTCTGTCTTAATCAAGTTTGTTGTCTTGAAGCAAAATAAATTTTTCAAGGCTTTCTAAATTGCACAATTCTCATTACAGATCTTCCTGTAATGTTCCTAGTTCCTACCAGCTTTTCTAAAATAAATTTTTTCCTGAATTGTAAATTTTTATTTTCTATATCAAACACGAATTTCTCTTTATTTTAAATCTCTCGCCCACCAATTTTTTACCCTTTATTTAAAAAAACCACGAAATTGCAAAACGTGCTTTCATGTTTCCCGTCTTATGCACAATTACGATTCGTGTCCACTTCACACTTTACTTCCTCAAGTGTCTCCCAGTTCCAAGTATTTCTCTTTTCTCTCCTCCACGCTTAAGACGACGGTGGAAGAAGATCTTATTGGAGCTTTCTCTCTCTAGCAAATCCATAATAATACTCGTACCTCCAACTCCTCCATCTTCCCCTCCGACTAACCAACCAACCAACTAAGCAAGCAGAGAGAGATAGAAAGTAAGTAAAGCGGATTTACTTTCTCCAGCTGCTGTCGAACTGCCGTCATCATCGTCTCGCTCACAGCAGATGGACAGCCGTCCAACCCAATCCAGTCCGACGCGAGGACAAAATGACAAAGGCCGCACTTTCGCCAAAGGATTTGGAGCCCCGACGCAATCGAGTTTGGATCAAAGCTCAAACTCTCTGCTTCAGCCTCTTCGCTTTTTTGGGGGAGGTTCGTCGTCCAGTAAAAATTCGACCGTAATAATAACTCTCATCAAAAAATAAATCCTTGTAGTGGGAGAAATACATGTTTAACATGCTGCATATTTTGAGACATGAAATTGTATGGGGGATTTGATGCGGCCCGAGATATGTAGGATGCAATTTTGAGTAAATTTCGAAATATGGTGAAAAAGTTATCGCTTTGGGATAGGTATTTTTTTAAATTGATCTTTTTATCAAACATATCGACAGAATTGTAGACGGACGGACCGACAGAACATCAGTTCAAACTCAGGGCATAAAAATTTACAGGGAAAATCCATACAGTTCGAGGCTCAATATTTATTTTGATTTTGTGTTTCATTTTGAAAAGTAGGGATACTTGTGGGTACATAAGCATAACTATTTTTCAAAATTGAAATTTTTACGAGACGAACAAACCCACAGATATACATTGATTCCGAGAAGTAAAACACTCCTCGGCCAAAAAATTGACAAATATTTCGAAGTAATCATTGTCTTAAAACACATATGTTGTTATAACTTGACCATTGTTAGGCCAAGTTATAACAAATATGAAATTATCAAAAGTGCATGCATGCAATTGGGCACGCAATGCCAAAATGCTCATATGAGAATCAGAGCTTCTACAATGTTTGAGATTGACTAAACATGGGATTGTTTAAAGTGTAAGCATGTATGCAATGTCAAAATGTTCATATGAGAATGGGAGTTTTAGCGACACTTGAGTGAACGAGATCGTCTAAACATGGGATTATTTTTAACTCTAGTTGTTATACAATGCCAAAATGTTCAGATGAATATGATCGTGCTTGTGACAACCCAGTGAACAGACTGGAAATACCGACCAGACGGTTAAAAAGTTAATTTATTAATTAATTAACTAATTCAAAACAGTTTAAATGAAAAATTGTTAGCAAGTTGGAAGAGATATATGTGAAGTGATGAACAATGCCAAAAACGCGTTATTGTCCAGTCGAACCGAATCCCTTATCACCGCGCGGCTCGCGGGATAAGAACTCACTTCTTTGAACGCCGTGTTCTTCGTCTTTCTTAGTTCCTTCAACGTATCGCACTGGTCCGTGGTACATTGGGATTACTGCAAGCTGCCCGAGGCGTGACGCCGCTTTGTAAGCGAAGTTTTCGCTCGAGTTGTTGTGCAAGATAATCTTCATCGTGCCAGTATAATCATGGTCGATTATGCCACCTTAAATAAATTTTATAAATTTGTAATTATTCAATTTGTAACAGTAATGTAATAATGAGCAACAAACCTGCTGTGGATATCATTGTTGCTGCGGCCAATCCTGACCTCCCCTTAATCAAACCAAAGTGGTTGAGGGGCAGTATAACTTGGATCCCCGTCTCCACCACACCAACACCGCCACCACTGATTTCGCCAGAGTTTTGAGAAAATAGGTCATATGCTGCTGATCCAGGCGTAGCCTTCCTCGGAAACATTGCCCGTCTATGTCGACGAACAAAGATAAGTCCGTCAACTGTGTGAGAAATTAATAGACAACAATTTTAGTTAATTAATGAAGTATTGGAATTTATTTATTTTCAGAATTGATCCGGTGCTAATTTGAAGGTAAGTATTGAGAGGATTTATGGAGCAATAACTAATAATCTAGTATTTGTAACCAAAATTTGAATTTTAAAACTTTTAGTGAGCTTAACATCAAATAAAGCTCTAAGCGTCCGGTTTTGCCGGGAGCATGCTACCAACGTCGTTGCGCATTTCTTCTAACGCTTTTACTAATGACCAATAGTGGTCGACCAGAATATTTGCGCCCACATTTTGATTTTTGCGTAAAGATAAATATGTTTTTGAGTTGTTATGCCATGTTTGGAGTCGGAGGTAGTATTCGCCTCCTAAAAACCCCTCCCACCAAATTGAATTTTGCGAATCTTTCTTCTCTTCGTAGGACGAGAAGTTTTTCTTAATTGTACCTGGCTGTTCACCTGCTCCTCCGCCGCTGACGTGAGGCTGGGGATCCTTCTTGGATGTCTTGACTTGGTCCTTCACGATCCTCTTCGCAGGCTTCTTATCGTCGTCGCCTGAAAGTGAGCAATTAATTTAGTTAATGTTTTGCATTGAGTATTTGAAAATAATCGAGTTATATAAGATATTAATCTACGTCTCGAATGTGTTAATATTTAAAATTAATAAATAAAAAAATATTACCAGCTTTTCGCTTAGTTCCAGATCCCGATCCCTGCCTAGGTCCTTCGTTAGACTTTTTCATGGGCTTCTTTTCCGCATCCTTAACTTCTTCTCGTCTACCTGTAAATAAGAGCGTAAGCGTAATGTAAATTTACAAATTAAAAAATAAAATAAATGAGTAAAATAAAACGATAAATCTTACGGTCGCTATCCTTATGTTTCTTCTCGGCTTCCTTTCTGCCCTTGTGGGTCGTCTTGTTCTTGGCGTCTCTTCTCGGGGATCGGTCCGATTCCGAGTCGTCCGACCAAATTGCTTTCTTGCTCCTAGGCCTTTTACCCTCATCGCTGCTGCCCGACGAACTGCGATGACTTGACCGTGAAGAACTACTATCGCTGGAACTGCGGCTCGTGCTGCGAGTGGCGCTGCGGCTTCTGCGATTATCGTTTTCTGAAATAGAAATTAAATTGTAGATTCAAATAATTTTTTCTGTTTTCTTTGCTTTTGAAGCAATTTGCTTAAGAATATTTCTGAATAAAATTTCTGAAAGAAAAAAAACTTACTTTTTGGCATGATGAAAAATTTTCTTCTTGTTCACAATTCAAAGTTAACTCCTCGAAATTATTTCTTTGACTAATACGACTAAATGGAGATCGTCGTCCTTTATATCGTGATTTAATCTCAAAATTGAACATGATGACGACAGTAAACAAGAATATAAAATAATTCGATAACAAGTGAATACTTGCTTGTTAATGGAGTGATCTAATTAATTACTTTGTTGTGACTATGCGTATTATCTTCTTTGTTTGAGTTATTTTCTTTGTAACAAGAGGTATTTAGTAGATTGTTATTAAATTATTTTTTATTTATTTTTAATACTTCTTTCTGTGTACTTGATCTTTGACATTTTAGTCGTCATGATGTCACTTCAGTAGTATAAATATGAGAACCGAATTATTTTTAAATTCCATTTGGTATTTGATTATACACCCGATATCAACACGCCAAATTGTCACAAATAATTTAAGCTATCAACTCACAAAAGTATGATACACATACGTAAATTATGTCAGCTGATGACATAATTACTTAATTTAATTGAGATGATGATGATATAATAATTATAATAAACTTTCTTATTATTTAGACGCAAATCTCGGAATTTTGTCGTATTGTCGCTGCTGCTGCTGCTGCTGCTGCTGCTGCTGCTACTACTACTCGCGGCTGGTGATGCTCGAAGGAATGAAACAATCTATGTGAGTACGACCACCACATTTATGTATAATGACAATTTAATAATTAAATACTGTAGCAGACTGAAGAACGAGCGGATTCTTTTATATGCGGAGGAATATATGCGTTTTCACTTCTCTCATATCAATGTGCGTCCTTGCGAATTTATGATTTATTCAATATTTAATCTTTCTTATCCTCATTTCGTGTAATAATTTTTATAGATGAATTCATGGAAATCTTGCACGAGATGCATCCCATGTGGATTTCAATTCGCCTCAGCAAGGCGGTTCGAAAAACACGTTGCGAATCACAGAAGGCCTTTTAGATTATATGTATGCAAGTTATGTAATTTAGAATTCACTCAACACAAAGCGTACGATATTCATATAAATTCACATAGATGTCCGCATTGCATGTATGAGGACAGCGATATTTTTGCTGTAAATAATCATATTTTGACGCACATAAAATCTTCTACGACGGCAGCAAGCAGTCGACAGACGGGATCGAGAAAGCGACAAAACGACGCATACCCTTTTAAAGAGATAGCTGCATGTAAGGGATATGTCAGAACATATCGACAAAGAAATAAGAAGAAAAATGCTCCGTATCGTACATTAATGGAATATTTTTCAGAAAACAAGCGTTGTATTTATGGCATTATTAAACAATGCTTAAATGACTACAAATCCGTAAAAATTCAAATAACCCTGAAATGTAAATTTATTAGAGACACCCCGTTCTGCGACAAAGAAGAAGAGGAATATTGTACACAATTTATAAATTCGAATATGAAAGTTGTATTGAACAAATTTTATCTGACTGCCGTTTTAAACGCGATTGATACGAATTTTCAACACCAAATTGAAATATTCGAGAAATATGGTTCGGGATGGAACTTATGCGAAATTCTAGGAAGCGATATTCGGGTTGCCGAGTTCGAGATTTTGCGAGGTGGTTGTTTTGTATCGGTCCCTGAAGAGTTGGCTGGAAAGAAAGCAATTATCAATCCGCAAATGCAGGGAAACAAATGTTTTCAATGGGCTTTTCTGATTGGCATGCATATTAACGATATAAAGTCACTTCATAGAGCAAGGATCAGACAGTACGAAAAATTTGTAAATAATTATGATTGGAAATGCATTGAGTTTCCTACAACACAGCAGAATATCAAAACATTTGAAAGTCGAAACGCTGAGAAGATGTTCGCTGTAAATGTATTCGGGTTCGATGATCGAGGGAAGCTAAATATTAAATACCAAAGTATGCACATCCGAGATAAAAAACGGAAAATTGTTAACCTACTTTACGTTCAAACCTGTGCAAATAATCCAGGACATTTTATGTACATAAATGGAATTGAAAAACTTTACGGTTCTAAAAATCATCATAAGCGATTACTGTGTTATAATTGCCTTGCTCTATTTCCAAGTCAAGCTCGCTTAAATAAACACGAAGAACTTTGTTTTTGTTTCAAGAAGCAACGCGTTTGCATGCCCGATCCCTATGATTTACGCGAGGAGCCTGTTTGTCGATTTAAAAAGTTTGAAAATAAGTTAAAGGTCCCTATAATGTTACTAATTGCCCTAGTAGCTCAGAGGTCAGAGCACTTGACATGAATTCAAGGGAGCCGTGGTTCGATTCCCGGCTGGGTAACAATTTTTGGCATTATTCGGGATTTACGTATTTGATTTCTAAATAAATTTGGTTTCCACAAGGATAGAAGTAGTGTTAAAATCAAAACAAATTCCTAGTTCGGAATAAAAAAGAACTTTCCATCGTAGGCCAAAAGTGAACTTTCTTTGGTAGGCAACAGTTCGTTACCACCGTAAAAGAAAGTAGAAATTCACAGAAAAAGGCCACAGACAAATATCAGTAAAAGTCCCTATAATGTTACTAATTGCCCTAGTAGCTCAGAGGTCAGAGCACTTGACATGAATTCAAGGGAGCCGTGGTTCGATTCCCGGCTGGGTAACAATTTTTGGCATTATTCGGGATTTACGTATTTGATTTCTAAATAAATTTGGTTTCCACAAGGATAGAAGTAGTGTTAAAATTAAAATCTAGGTTTGTCATTTATTCGGATTTTGAGGCTCTCTGTATGAAAGTAAAGCGAAGAAGAGGAAAAATACGGCAGTACGCTAAACATGTTCCGAGCGGTTATTGTTTTGTAGTTGTCTCAAACGATGAAGTGATTTATAAATCGTTATATCGTGGAAAGGATTGCATGGAAATATTCGTAAAAGAGCTTGAAATTTGCGATCAACTAAATAGTTTGAATTTAAACAAGGTGCCCATGAGTAATCCTACATTAGAAGAGCAAACATTGTATGAAGAGAGTAATATTTGTCACATTTGTGAAAATGTTCTCCAGGAGGATAAAGTAAGGGACCATTCACATGAAACTGGACGCTTTAGGGGGGCAGCGCATCGTCAATGTAATGCCAAATACCGTCAAAAAGATAGAATACCGGTTTTAATGCACAATTTTAGGAGCTATGATTCGCACTTACTGCTTAGTTACGTCAGAAAACTGTCTGCGAAAGAAGTCAAAGTGATTCCATCTAATTCTGAAAAGTATATGGCGTTGCTCTGTGAGAATTACGTTTTTCTGGATTCGTTTCTCTTCCTCACAGCCTCACTGGATACTCTGACGAATGACTTGTTGTTGGGAAATAATTTTGAGCAAGACTTCAAACCATTAATACAGATTTTCGGACAGGGTGCGGCTAAAGAAATGTCCAGAAAAGGAATTTATATGTATGAATATATGGATAAGTGGAAAAAGTTTGATCAAAAAAAGTTTCCCAAAAAATCCGACTTTTACAATTCATTGGCAAGTTCGGGCGTTTCAGATGTTGATTACAAGTACGGTAAACATATTTTCAAATCATATTGCTCGGATTTAGGGGATTATCATGATCTCTATTTAATGACCGATACTTTGTTGTTGGCTTGTGTTTCGAGAAATTTCGTGAGGTTGCCTTGACACATTATAAACTAGATCCTGTTCACTATTATTCGCTAGCAGGGTATTCATGGGATGCTGCATTATTAAATACGAAACAGGTTTTAGATTTGTTTATCGATTCTGCCATGTATAATACTATAGAATTAGGACTCCGCGGTGGTGTTTCAATGATTTCGACGCGATATGCTTCGGCGAGGAATAAGTATATACGAAAAAGCGGAAAAATAAAAGATGAAGACAATTATCTTTTTTACATTGACAAGAACATTTTGTACGGAGAAGCTCTTCTTCAGCATTTGCCCACAGGAGATTTTGAATGGGAAGACGCAGAGTTCGTTCAGAAATTTTAAAATGGGGCGATGAAGATAATATCGGGCGAATTTTAGTTGTGGACCTAGGGTACGGGTCGGCATTGCACCCCAAACATTCAGAGTACCCGCTTGCCCCCGAGAAAATTTGTGTAAACAGTAAGCTACTTTCTTCGTATCAGACAGACCTTATTTCCCATTATAATATGACTTATTCTGAGAAGCAACCTAAGCTCGTACCGCATTTGGGCCCTCGTAAAAGGTACGCTGTTCATTATAGGAATTTAAAATATTATTTAAAGAAAGGAATGACTTTAGAAAAAGTACACAGTGTAATTAAGTTCAGTCAATCTGCATGGTTGAAAAATTATGTCTTATTTAACGGTTCTTTGCGTCAACAAGCACGAACCATTTTTGAACAAAATCTGTTCAAATTTATTGTAAATAGCATTTTCGGGAAATCCGCAGAACAAGTACGAAATCGAGAAGATGTTAGAATTGTGAGTAACCTAGAGCAGATGAAGAAGTTGACTAGACATTCGAATTTCAAAAATTATCAAATTTTAAGTCCTGACCTCGTCATAACTTTTCTTGACCGCGCAGTGGTGAAATTAAATAAGTCGTTGTATATTGCCTTCACGGTACTCGACTTAAGTAAACTCTTTATGTATGAGTGGCACTATGATAAAATTGGCGAGTGGTTCGGGGAAAGAGCGAAATTCTTGTTTACAGATACTGATTCATTAGCATATTCAATAACCACTGCAGATTTGTACGAGGACTTGGCTGAGCACGCTGACGAGTTTGATTTTAGTAATTATGACCAATCACACTTTCTTTATTTGAACGTCAACAAGAAAGTTATAGGGAAGATGACAGATGAAGCAAAAGGAAATGTTCTAGAGAGTTTCGTAGGTGTTGCGCCGAAGATGTATTCCTTTCTTGGAAAAGGTATAAGAAAGAAAGCAATGAAAGGTGTCAAGAAACAAATAGTTGATAAGTACATTAATCATAAACGATTTAAATCAGTGCTATTCAAACAAAAGAAATTGGTATGCAGAATGAATCTGATTCGTTCACGGCATCACAAACTCTATTCTGGAAACTTTTCGAAAGTTGCACTCCATTGCTTTGATTCAAAGAGATACATTTTAGCTGATGGGATTAATACCATAGCCCATCATGATTGTCGCATCGTTGCGTAAACCGTTTACATCGGTTAGAATTTATGTTAAGTGTATATGTGAAATAATAAAATTAAGAGTTGTAAATTGCATAAAGTAAACGAAAATGGTTATATTTCATTTTAAATATATTAGTTTTATGTTTGTACAAACATGTAAGTCGAGTCTATGCAATAAATATTTTCAAAAGAAATTTGATCCTTTTGCGACAAAGTGGACAATAATCTTGTGTACACAAGCAGTCTAAACACATACTTAAATGGGCACAAGGCAGAACCACGAATCTCGCTTCAGATGCATCACAAATTTTGCAGATAGGATCAACCATTACGGTAGCCAGAATTGGAGTTCCAGCAGCTGCAGCTGAAAGGTAATCATTATAATATTTTGCATCGTCTGATTTTTTCTGTAGCGAAACTAACAAAATTTTTACCATTTTCAGAATGAGGTTCTTCAGAGGCGGTATCAACAGAAAAATTTTTCTATAGAAATAAGACAAAGCTTGTAATTCTAATATTACTAATACAAATTTGACTTGAAATTTTTTTTGATAAAATTACCTTCTGATTGGCTTTGGCTTTGTTAACCAATAAATATGTACACTTATTCGAAAAAAGAGCGTGTTCAATCCAAGGATTATCTTCTGGCAACCAATTGTGCGCGCCGACCCCACAGAAATAACAAATAACTTTATCTGATTCGCCGGAATAATAAAATCCACATTCGGCCAGCGTATGGGGTGTTTGCGCCTTATTGGTCGGCCATTCTTCGTACGATTGAAGCCGTTTTTGGAAAGTGCTCATGTCCTTATTAAACATGTTGAAAGGTTTATAAGTTAGGTGTTCCGAAACTTGTGCTTGCATTTTGATTTCGGCGTCGTTTTCTTTTAGCACCCGAATCTACATTACGCATCGGCGTAGGTCCATGTGTATCCCTCGATGAACGAGCTGAGTCTGAGTTAGAATTTAAGTTGTCTTTACTTGATATAGGTTTCCATTTTTTAAAGCCTCCCATCCTAGAAGCGCTATCGGTTTGATTAGAACGAATTCTGATTCCTTCCAGTGGACCCATTAAGTCTTGCTTAACATCCTTGGACAACATTGTCGTTGGAACGTTTACCATCTTACAAACTGTTAACATACGATTAATACCTGCAGGATTATGACTCCACTTCAATTCTCGTGTTACGTAATTTACCAAATCAATTATGTTGGTTTCCGGGGCAAATTCTGTTCCAAAAAAAGTTACCCTTCCATTTGTGTCCCATTTGATAAGATCGGGCCTTGATTTCAGCATGGTCATGAGAGGAATAAGCTTCGTAGCTTTGACGTTTGCGGGCTCATTTCTGAGTAAGATAATGTCGTCCAAATTTAAAGGAGAACTTTGAGGAACTTCATTAAGTGTATCTGGATCCCACGCCGTCGCTGAACCTTTCGACGACGCGAAACTCGATATATGCGCTCGAATAAAAACACGGTGCAGACGATATAGCAGATGAAAAATGATCTAGGGAGCTAAAGTCTGCACTACTATCGGCATTAATCGCTGCATCTGGTTTGTCTAGGCTAAGTTTGACCTTTATAGGATCAGCTAGTATTTGATTCAATTGTTGCTTTACACTTTTCATGATGGAACCATAAAGTTGAATTTTTATGTCATCAGGGATTTCAGAATTATCAAGTACTTGATCGGCTCGACCATTTGCATCACGAAAGAAATGCTCTTTGACTTGAGATAGAGGGGTATGTCTCTTTAGCAAACGCTTGTATTCGTCGTCTTCAACCAGTCGCATTCTTTGTGCCATTTTATAACCCCAATTGTGAGCCAATGGCTCTACCTGCAATTGCACCTAATGCTGATAAAACTGGTGAAATCAGAAAAGGTAGAAAACCACCCTTTTGCAATAATAAGTGCTTTTTCTTCTTGTGTGATAAAGTTCGTTTTGACAATTTTCTTATTGAGTCTTTGTGCAATGATAACTTTTTTAATTTCTGTTCTGCTACCGGAAAATTTCCACATACAATATTCATAGCAATCTCTGTGAGAGCTCTAATTTGGTCGGGAGTTGCCGCTTCAATGAGTTTCTTCCTGGTCTGGTCGTTGGATTTGTGTAACGTCTTCAGAAAACCTTGATTCCTCTGTAAGCATTTGCTCATCCTGATGTTGCAGTTTTTCGAAATAAAACGAAATTACAGCCGCCTTGAAATGGCTACAATGGGGATTTGCTTTATGAAATCGTAACGGGCACTGTTGCTCTGTCATTTCTTGCAAGTCGTTATATTCACATCTTAGCTGATCCCATAATTGATTAATGTTATCATCCATAGTATTAATGTCAATAAGTTTGCAATTTAGTTTAAACAAGTTTCGTAAAACGTTAACTTTTGCCATTCCCTTAGTATATACAATATTATCTACGTCTCTATTCAAAAGTTCTTGTAAATAATCTCGTACGGTAATAAATTTGTCTTTTCCAGATGACCAATAAATTTTATGCAAACGATTTTCGCAATACCGTACAATTCTTCTATCGTTCATGTGCAATCTATCGAAACTATACGGTGACTTGACAAAAAAATGATTTTCGAGATCAGAGGCGACGATTGACAATTCTTTTATAATAAATGCACTGTGCAACTGAAAGCCCTCAATTTCAATAATATATTTCATTTTGGTAGATAAACAAATTTATCCGTTTCACCTAAAATACCTTGTATTACTCTGTACTGATCGTCACAACGTGGGTGCAAATTTAACACTAAATAGGAGTAAGGATTTTTTGTAGCCTTTTTATAAGCGTCGGGAAGGAAGCGTGATTTGTTCGGGAAAACTTGTCTGCTTAAGTAATTAATTTGTGAAGCAAACGTAGGCGACTTCATAATTACTGTGTAATGGGTATTTAATCTCATGGTTTTACCGTGTTTACCTTGCGGGAATAAATTTTGGGTTAAAATTATTACAGAGACTGATTTGTGATGTGACCCCTTTGTAAGTAGTTGATAAATTTTTTCGCTTTGAACAGCGTCATGCATTTGATCGTCAATTACAATAATATTATTGATATCCGGATTAAATTCCTCCAGATCGAATTCCAAGCCTTTGATTAGTTCGACATGAGGTAATTTTGACACTAATTCTCTATACGCTTCTTGTTCTTCTGTGAAGCATATTACAACCCTATCTGGTGCTGGAGTGACAATCTTATTTGAATTTAGCAACAAGGATTTTAAAAATTGTGTCTTGCCAGATTGCGTAATTCCCGAAATACTCATAGAAAAACGATGTAACAACTGAAATGTATTACCGTGGTCAATTTCCATTGTTGTGCTTAAAGGATCTTTTTCTGAAATGAACTGTCACGACTGAGATTCCTTTGGTGAAATGGATTTCTTCTCCATATTCATTAATATAATAGATTTAATAGAACGCTAATGCTTCGTCTGAATAAGTTTTTCACATTTACAAATGATACGAAATACATAGACAATTTACAAGACTTTGTACAATCCTATAATTCTTCAGTGCATAGGTCCATAAACTGTCGACCAAAAGATGTAAAGCCTTCCAATCAATTTAATGTTTGGATGAAGAGTTACGAGGATTTGCAGAAGTCAAAGCCGTCTACTCCTAAATTTCGAATCGGACAGTATGTTAGAATTAAGATTCAAAAAGCAACATTCGAGAAAGGTTACGCTTCGACGTTCACCACTGACTTGTTCAAAATTCGAGAAATCCTAAACAGCATACCTGTGACATATAAGTTAAGTGATAATACAGGGGAAATAATTTTAGGTGTATTTTATCCTGAGGAATTATCTCTCGTAAAAATTTGAAATTAGTTCCCGAAAAAGTTTCTCGGAAACCTCTGAATTATGAGGCTTATATTTTTTTTTTTTAAATTAGCATTTCCGAACCGGTCTTGAAAATGAAATAAGCAGCAATAAATAAACATAAAATACATAAAAAAAATATCAGAATAAAAATATAAATAGAGGCAATAGTATTTAAGGAGAAAATTTGCGAGTATTATCCGCGTTTGTTCGCTGAGTTCGAACCTATTCACAAGTCTATAAGATGGAAAACAGTCTGAAGGACTTAGCCTCAGACGACGAAAAAATTACATCTGAACAAGTGCCTGAAGATGCGCCTGTTTCTGCAAATGAGCGACCCAAGCGTGGTAAGCCCGATCTGGATGGGAAAGCCGGTTCTTCGAGTAAACCGTCGACTGCTCAGAAACTCAAAAAGTTCATCTGTAAAAGAAGGAAAATCGAAAAATCTTCACAAGCTCCGTTAGCATCAGGTACTCATGTTTTTCATAGGAAGAATTCTTCCGAATCATTGCTTGGCTGAGGATCGTATATTCATATGTAGGTGTTGAATTTTCATCGTCTGGAACATCTTCATCGTCGGCATCATCATCCGACAACGAAGGGGCTCATGGAACAGACCTTACCGCAGTTTGTGGTATGACCAAAATTATGCCCAAGCCATTTTTCAAGCCAAGGTTGAGCGCTAGAATTGATGATCACTCGATTGAGTGGTACACCTTAGGCAATGAGATCGTTTAAGACATTAAGCTTTGCGGTTACAGATGTACAGAATACTATAATAATCATGTGAGATTCCGAGGGCACTATTTACATGAATTACTTAATTTTTTGAACGAAATACCGAAAATTTATGAAACCCAACTTCCTACACAAACTGCTCCGCTCAAATATTAAAAACTTTGTAAAGGCTTAGAATAATTAGTTAATATTTGTAAATGCAGATCTCATGGACCACCTTTTTCCAGATCATTTGCTAAATGATTGTATCGTGTTTAATAAGGGGTTCGGAGGAAAGTCTTACTTGCAATGTACGACAATCGGTGAAGAAATTATAATCACCATTGGCGGAAATTCGCTTTTTGAGTTCATTTCAATGAACAGAAGTCAGTTTGGCGAGTTTTGAAAGTGTTGAATGAAATGAAAATCGAGTGTCACAATCTCTTCGATTTGGACGGACCTTTAGACTTAACTACTAGACAATAGGATTTTAGTTAAATATGAATAAAATGTTTCCTGCACACACAAAAATTGTTCAATCTTATTTATTTCTAGGTGATAACGACGGGAAACCTGACGGTATCACTAACGCTCAAAAGGTCTTTTTCGCAGTATTCGGAATTTCACCTACACCAAAACCTGCCGGCACTAATCAAATCGGTTGGCCCGATAGAGGATTCGAACTTAGTGACCAGGGTGCATTTGTGAGGAAAGACTATTTTGTAATGTGCACACTGAAATATTGGTATACCGAAATCCCGAAAATTTTGAAAAGGAACTTTAAGATCATAAAGAAATGCAATTATGAGAAACAAGCTATCATACAAGCCAAAAACAATGTTCATATTCCCACATTTGATTTTACCGGCGTATTAATGGTTTCTAAGCACTACATGGATTAATAAAAACACGAAATTGTTTAAAAAACAGAGGAACAAAATGTCTGCACCGTGTTTTTATTCGAGCGCATATATTGACATCGTAATTTATAGAAATAAAACAATATGAATTTGGCCACCCATGGGCCAGTTTCCCAGCGGCCCGCAAGGGCCGCTGGGAAACTGGACCATGGGTGGCCAAATTCACAGCAGCACACATATTTTTCAAAGTTGATATTTTATCAAACAAACCGATATAAACACAGACGGACAGACCATCAATCCAGCCACGTAAGTCACTCCATACAAAGAGATGCAGACTGGGCGAAGTAGAACAGCCCAAGAAAAAGAGAAAGTAAGTATTATGATTCGCTCAATACTTCAAAGACCTTCGGGCACTCTATGCAAATGGTAAAAGTGAACTCGTACTTTCGCCAGAAAGAGATGATCTCCTCCTCTTTCGGGATTAGAGATCTCGCGGCGATCCAGATAATATGCCCACCAGAGATTGAATTACTGATAGCGAAAGGCTGATTTTCAACGGCGGGAAGAACAATTTCCGTCCAAAGTGACGGACTGACTTTCTCCAAGAGGAGGAGGAGATGGATGTAAAAGCCAAATCGGGAGGAAAAGCTGGAGGGCGTCTTGATGCACGAAACGATGACATAACGAAGCGGGATTCGTTTCATGGGGAAATTTAATCCGGATTAAAGAGAGAGATTTCTGGATAAGCGAAGGATAGTGCACTATGTAAGTAAAATTGTGATCGATTTGAGGGGTCAACGGGGTCATTTGGTGACATGGGTCACATATGTGGGCCACGGAAGGGTTGTCACGTTAGTCAAAATATTTTGGAAATTGTTCATATATTTTATGAATCATTTTAAAAATGGATTCAATGACATTTTTGATGACAGGTTTTTGGGGGTTTATTCACAATTTTAGAATATAAATTGCAAGAGAAATAATTTTGTTGAATTTTTAACACAAATATGACACAATCTGAATTTTGCATGTGAACCCATTTTAAAATACATTATTATTTATTTATCATTCAAAAATTTGTAAATACTAAAGAAATTGTTAAATTCAGTATTCAATATTATAAAATCACAAAATCTTGTTTGATCTCAATTTGTATTAAACTTAAAATTTGGAAACCCCCGTGCACGGTCCCCGGCACGACGAAGCCAAAGCCTGGTTCACTTATCGACTTATCTTTTTTGAAGAAAGTTGTGTCAAATTATTCGATCAAGATCTTCTCCCACAAGATTTTCCCCTTTATACTTTTCATCCCGAGAAATATGGGTCTCAACTCTGCACTTAATTTAAAGACGGTTTATTTCGGGGCTTTCTCCTCTTTCTCCAACCGCAGGCTAAACTCTGAGACCGCGTCGTGGTGACGAGGATGACCCGATTAAATTACCTTCATCATCATCATCACGGCGACTAAGGAGGCCCAATTTCGACGTAAAGTGGTCCATCTTCGGGACCTTTATTATTTCGCAATATTTTCACTTTCAGTTTGCTCTGAAGGCAGAAAATTTTTGCATTTTTTGAGTAAAAATGAAAGCATATCCACGAAAGCTCCTTATACAAAAATTGCATCACGTAAGACTTTTAGATAAAACGGTTAATGGCACTTAAGCATGACGGTGAAACAATTAATGCCATGACGAGATCGCATCATTAACAAATCAAACAAAATTCGCCAAGAAGTTCTTAAAACTGAGTTGAAAAATGATTTGCAAACTTTCGCATCTCCAACTCGACGAAGTCTTCAGTTTGTACAAAATCCGAAGGTTTCCAAAAAAATTCTACAATTCAAACAGGAAACCCGTTATGAATATCGGATTCTGTATTACTTCAAAGTCGAAGTTATTATTTTTTCAGAATTTTACATATTAGTAAATTAAACAGATTGCAGTCCTTGACTAGTATTTTGTTAAAACATTTTATCATATTTTTTAAAAGCTTTTTATATTTTATAAACCAAATATTAATAGAAAACAGTTCTACCCATGCAAAAGGACGAGATTGTAATGAGTACGAGCTAACTTTATAAAAAAACTGAATTTTATGAAAACTGACACTTTGTATTTAAATACGCTAAAAAATCCAGTTTTCACAAAAAAAATCGAGCAAAACCTTACTGTAAAAAATATTTCCTAAGGATTAGCTCACTTTCGGTCTTAACTTCACTCTGATGACTAAACCCGTATTAATTTCTTGCCTTCGAAAATTCAAGGATGCCCCCGCCAAAATCAATACTTTTCGAGGTAAAGGTGAAATCCTTTACAAAAAAATTCATTTCCCACGAAGATTTGCATGCCAATATGGGCCACTGAAGTTGATCGATTCCACCTCGCATCACAGTAGCGGCAATGCACGAAGAATGTCAACCATTTGACCGACATACTTTTAAATACTTACACATTGATTTCTCAACAATTCTTGTGAAGTATTGCAAATTTTTATCCAATTTGCAATTCCTAAGACGAAATTACATTCTTACAAAATAAAAATAGAGAGAGAGAGAGACCCTCGAATCTTTTGTTTCATTGAGAAATACTTTTTTTAAATTAATAATTATTGGCGTCGATTTACAAAATTACGCAAATAAGAAATTTACTTCAAACTAGGAGTTCTAGATTATTCTTGCTCTACATAATTTAGAAATAAATATGTGCCGAGATTTAACGGATTTGATCAGCACGAATTATTTTTTTGGGGGTAACCTTTAAATAATTCAAATGTTATATTTTAAAATAATTTGGGAAGACCGGTCCGATTTATCTGTTAGCTTTTATTATATTAGCTATTTGGTCACTTTCTTAATTCGACGTTTTACATCAACAATGAGTACTTTTTTAAATGTTAGTGTTTCCCAATAACCCAAAGGATGGTGTAAATTAAATTAATTCGTGAAAATACAAAATATACACTCCTCTAAACTGTTATAATAACTTTATAGCAAAAAAAATGACCACGTGTATTGTGATTTCTCAAAGTAAACCGGATAGATTTGATTTGAATTTCAACCCGCTTCCAATGTTAATCAAATTGGCACGTGATTTTGGCGCGTAGAAAATCTGTCCGGTTTACTTAGCAACATTACAATAATGCCTGGTTAATATTGGTGATTAAAAGGTAACAAAAATATTTCAGAGAAACTAAAATATTTCTCCATTCGGGTATAAATTGACGAAAATAACACATTTCTAACAACTTTGAATCTCCTGGAAATTGTTGTTATAATTCCGCAATAAATTTTTATTAAAGTGATAAAATCTCATAGTAACTACATGTTCACGGATCTTGTTGCCAGCTTATTTTACGTGTGTGAATCACCTCTAGATTAAAAATTCCCGCCCAATTCCATCACATCACTTCTGTTTAGCTCCTCATCGTCTATGTCAACACCTTTCATAATAATTGCGCAAACACACTTGACTCATCCAACTCATCCACGCTAAACTGGTCCACCGCCAACACTTCGTCGCATCATTAGTGCATAAACTAAAACCCGCTTTCACCAAACTTTCATCTTCATCACTTCTTCAAGTCAATCAATAACGAAACTGACAATATTTCATGATTTACTTTCGCCCAGAAAAAAGAAGAATTCGCAATTTCTTACAACTCTGTTACGTGTGGAAATTATTATTATTTCTGCTACGTCTCATTCACTCCGACCCGTTTGACACGTCGCATCCCATCAACGCCGCCACACACGCATCGAGAAACAGCTTTTGTGGCGCGGGAATAAAGGGAAAATTACGTTTCGAGAGAACAAACCACGACCACTTCCAGCACCACTTTCTCAGCACAACTCTGTCTTTCTCGTGTCAGTCGGAATCATCAAATCAATCGGGATCCATCAAGACTAGGTTTACACAGGGTGTCAAAAGAAGGAATATTTTTTTAAATTGAATTTTATGCATGGTTTTTTAAAGAATTTCAATTTTACATTTTTATATCTGTAAGAAATGTTTTTAAGCATTTTCCTTCTATAAGAATTTTACTTTTGTCAGGAATTATATTCTACACGTATTTTTTTTAGATTTAAACTAATTTTTAGGTATTTGTCGTTGCATCTTTGCGCCATTTATGGATTTTTGAATTATGAATACTTTAATATGTAATTAAATAAGATGATGTGTTCGCAGTGTAGGATTTGGCAGATTATAAATTTGAGCACAATATATTTAACAATGCAAAACTTTGCATCTTTAGGAATTTCTGATGTTAGCACATTACGAAAATTTTCACCAAATCGCACTCTCAATTGCTCACTATGTCACAAAAGTGAATATTAAAATATGCTCAAGTCGAAGTTGGAACCTTCTGATTACAATTCATCCAGCAAAGAGAAAATGGCAAATGCACCGAAAAACGTCTCCCCTTGTCTCCATCCAACTTTCTCTCGCCCCACGTACATTCCGAGGCGACAATAATAATGAATAAAATGCATTTTGGATGAACAATGTCGTTCCCTGCTCCTCAGACTGATCCACCTTTCCCACTTTCTATTTTCCCCGTAAAACCAAGAGAAAAGAAACAACTGGTTGAAAATTACAGTCCAACCATCGTCCCTGCCTCCTTTCACTAGCGCTTTCTCCGACAAATCCACCATTCAGTAAGTCTTCCATTATCTCGTGTTAAGCTTGAAGCCGTCTCGGCACAGTTCTCCACTTTCACTTTGACTTTCTTCCCCCGAAATAAATAAATTCCTCGCGAGGCTCTCATCATTTTTCACCTTTTCTCTTAACCGATTATCTCATCCGGCTTTCGCTTTCTCCAATCTCCGCACAAATTCAATTGAAACCTTTCAAGTGGAAAGCGGGACGGTGCAAATTTACTTGATTTCTGAGACGAAGATTCATAAATTAGTGGAGGAAAAACTAATGAGATGAGTTTCGTCAAAGTTAAAGTGACAGCGTGTCCTATTCTTCTTTGAGGCAAGTTTGCGCTTCCGGTGGAAATAATAATTAGAAGGGAAAGTTGTAAAAAATACATTTTTGGTCAGTTCAACTTTGAGAAGGTGAATAAAACATATGTGATCAGTTTGGGTCAGAGGTCAACCCACAGTTCGCTT